TAGCTATAAACTTTGGGAACAAGTAGGGTGCCCTCATTCACTTATAAAATATATATATATATACACTGAACCAAGTTTCTTTATTTCTTTTCTCTTTCTTTCTCCTATAAATAAGCCAGTGAGTGTCAAGCTTCTGACTTGAACCCGTGCTGCTGTACCCGAACCGAACACAAACAAAAGAACTTCAGCCGGTCATAAAGGGACAGTTATAGGAAGAGGTCTCAGCAGTTAAAGTCTTAGGCGTATAGTACACACATAGTATAGGAAGAGCTTGGGCGTTTGAATTTGTGTCACACCCAGGTGGCAAAATTCAGTTGGGGCGCTTCTCAGTCTCCCCGAGGCTGCCCGCTGCGAAGGAATTATGAAATTCTAGCAGCTAAAATCTGAAGCGTAATAAGCTCTTCCTGTACACACTGGGGCGTCTGTTAGCCTGTTTGGCTACCCTCTGCGACGGGACCTCGGTCCTAGCAGTAAAGTCACGGACGTTAAACTATTTTTTTGGGGGCGCCCTCCAGCCTCCTAGGCTGCCTGCTGCAACGAGACTTTATGTCTCAGCAGTTGAAGACTTGGGTGTAACACACACGCACACACTGCCCTGACCGTCGGCTGACAGGGGTGTGAGGGTCAGTGAGAGCCTGGAATTGATCCTGCCACCACTGCACAGCCCAGACCTCCCTCTGGGGGCTCAGGCTGATCCATCCCTTCCTGCTCGCAGACTCTCTGGACACCCCCACAGCCCATTGGCCATCCCCCACCTCCACCTCCCAGTAATGTCTCCCCAAGGTGAAGCCCTCTCGGCCCAGCACACAGGACCAAGTGTCAAATCTCGCCGGGGTGTCAGCCACTGGCTGCCATGTGTCTGCCCATCTCTCACGTTTCCCATCCTCAGACGGGACGAGCCGGGGATGCGCCATATCTGGATCCAGAGTCACGTTGGCTGTGGGGGGGGGAGAATCAGAGCGTGAGGGGCAGAGCTCAGCCCTGGGGTGTCGATGGCATCAGGGACAGAATCTGCCCCAGCTGGGCAGTGACTCAGGGACTCTCCTGCCTCCAGGGGCGCCCGGCTCTGAGTGGGGAGCAGCCCTGAGGTCTCGGCCCAGCCCAAGGGGCAGCTCGCTCCCCAGCAGAGAGGGGCCGTGGCAGAGAGAAGGGGTCAGAGGGGCCCTGACACTGGGAATCTGCCCCCTCTCCCTGGGCCGGGGACCCCAGAAGGACGGGATGGAAACTGCCTGGTCAGGGCTGGCTGAATCCAGGCCCTGCCCTCGGCTGGGCCCCTCCCCATTGAAATGTCCCTGGGTCCCAGGATTTGTGATTCCCTCTGTGACACATCTCCCCCGCACGGCATGTCTGGGCAGTGATAAGTTAACCAAGCAGCCTGTCCTGAGGCACTGCACTGAGGGGGGCATGAGGCCCGAGGCAGCTCACCTGGTCTGTGCGCTCTTGGGGGTTTCTCTCTCTGTGCCTCCAGTGCGGCCGGCAGAGTGTCTGGGGGAGGAGAGGGGGAGATTCAGGTTTGCACGGGGAGCCCAGAGCCGGGTTGTCACGTCACAGACACAATCAGGCCTCGCTCACGTCCGGGCTTTTGTCACCACCCAGGTCTACGTTCCTACAGCGCCTTTGGCATCAAAGCAGCTTTTGGCCCCCCTACGGCTCCCACGGCCCCCCTACTGCTGTGGGGGCTGCACAACCTTGGGCAGAGTTGCCAACCCACGAAAACTTCAAGTACGGACAAAATGGGAAAAATGAACGGACAATTTTTTTTATGGACATCATTTTTATACTATATTAAGACAATATCCATGGCCAAAAGTGAAACGTCATCGCTGTCATTCATACATGAATGGGCTGACGCTAACTCGGCGGGATCATGGAGAGGATAGCATCACGTCATTCACATTACGTGCCCTCAACCATTGAGCTAAATAAATAACTAAAACATCCAATTTCCGCCGCTCCACAGTAAAATGGCTAAAGTAGCAGAAAAGACATGGAATGGCTAGAGAGTAATTGCTATTTTTTTAAATGTTATTGCACGTTTACGAAATTTATGGACACCTACATTTTTTTTACAGACTTTACGGACATGGAACAACCAGCCAATAGGAATTAGAGATTGGCCTGAAGGATGCGGGCAGCACAAGCCTCTTCCCCCTCCTGGTGCTGGTACTTGGGGGGTGCTGCAGGGCTGCTGGCCAGGAGTTACGTAAGCGCCTCCCAGCTGGAGCCTGCCTCTGGCACTCCAGCCCCTCCTGCATCCCAACTCAGTTCCCTAAGTCACCATCCAAACCTTCTGTATCCCCTGCCCCAGGTCACAGCTCCTTCCCAGACCCTGCACCCACCTCCTACATTCTTCCCCCAGGCCAGAATCCTCTCCTGCACCCACACCCCCTCCCTGACCCTGCACCTCATTCTCCTGCCACAGGTCACCACCTAAACCCTCTGTAGTCTGTACCTTGCTTTCCCCTTTGCCCAGGTCACAGCTCCCTCCCAGACTCTCTACCCACCTTCCCCAGCTCAGAATCCCCTCCTGCACCCAGAACCCCCTCCTTGACCCTGCACCATGTCACTACCCAAACCCCCTACATGGTCTGTAGCCCCTTTTCCCTGATCACAACTCCCTCCCAAGTGACCTGCCTAGGCCAGGGAGACATGTCCAGAACCCCCCTGTGGAGAAGTGACCCGTGTACATCAGAAAAGAGAGTAACTTGAAAATCGCTTGGACAGGAAAAACCCTCCAGCAATTCAAAGTTCCGGTGTGAGCTGTGTACAAGTCACACAAGGTGCTTACTATCCCGAACACAATTAGGGTTGCCAGGTGTCCGGTATTCACCCGGATAGTCCAGTATTTTCGCCTTCTCTCTGGTAAAAAAATTCAGAAAATACCAGACACCTAAGATAGCCGGTATTTTCTGATTTTTTTTCCCCGTCCAGGAGGAGAAAATGCTGGGCACCTGGCAACTCTACAAACACTCAGCGCCTGTCCTCCCCCCACCCCGATACGCCCTTCCCAACCCCCTCCCCCCAGCGCCCAACCCTCGACCCCACGCTTACCTGGTTCCGCAAGGCTGTTGGTGCAAAATGGCTGCCGGCAAAAGACCAAGGGGAAGCAATGCCTCCTCTGGATCTTAGTTCTCAACCTCTCCCTGTTCCTATCGCTACACTCACTCTTAAAGGGGACATGCTGTTTCCATGGTTTTTTTTGTTTTTCTTTGTTTAATAAGTCCTGGAGTCCTTTTTTTTTTTTGCTCAACAACTTTGGTCTCCCTGGCCTGCAAAGCAGGTTGATTTGGCCTGCGGAGGCCCTGCCACCCAACCACCCCCGCCCCCAGGTCAATCAGAGCCTGGGGACGGCGGGGGACACGTGAAGTTTCCTCTGCCCTACCCCCACCCTGCGAGGGGCGTGTGGCACTTAGAAGTGCCATGTGCTCCTGGCAAGGTGGGAGGAAGTTTCGTGTCCCCCCCCGCCCCAGGCCCTGATTGGGGTGAGGGAGAATGGGAAGTCTCCTTCCACCGCCAGGGGCATGGGCACCTAGTGGGACCCTGGGGAGAGGGCCAAAGGGTCTCCCCTACCCCCAGATCAATCATGGTCTTTGAGTGGGGAAGCCCTGAAGCATCCTGGCCCCGCCCCTTCTGTTTGAGGTCCCGCCCCTTCTGGTGCGGCCCGGGAATCTCTTGAAAAATTTTTGAGGTGGCCCTGGCCCATTCCTGACACAGAAGCATCATTTAATTATAAAAACAATTGACCAGCGCCATTCTGCTTCCATGGTCTCACTTCCCCCTCCTCCATCCCCCCTAGGTACCTTTGAACTCCCTCAGCGTCTCCGACAGCGCAGTCACTTTCTGGGAGAAACCACGGACTCGCTCTCCCAGTTCAGGAGCCATCTCCTCTGGCTGCTGGGCCTGCCCCTCCTCACAGCTGGAGAGAAACAATGTCCCATGGTGACACAGGATTGGTTCCCAGACGTTTTGAGCATATGGGCCCCTTTTCAAACTGAAAATTTCACAGATCCCCTCCCCTGCCTGGGGGGAGAAAAAAAGGAAAGGAAAACAAAAAGGAGGATCGGGCTTACTGCCATGGGCCCAGTCCTTACTTCTGAACTTTTTACAGATCCCCTGCAGTCCTGTCACGGATCACCAAAGGTCTAGGTTTGCCAGAAACTTTCACAAAAAAAAATACCTCCCCCTCACATGGTGGGAAAAAATTGGCTGAGAAAAAAAAATGCACAAAAAAAAAAAAGTCACTGCATCTTTAAATCCCCACTCTCTCCGTGACCCCACCAGACGTGGCAGGGAAAAAATATCCCAAGCGGCCTTCTGACCGAGAGAAGCAGAAAATACCGGACATTTTACCAGACAGAGGCCGCAAATTGCGGACTGTCCTGGCCAATACCAGACACCTGGCAACCCTACAGGGGTCTGTGGCCCACAGGTTGGGAGCCGCTGTGATCCTGCCTTGAGTGACTCAGTTCGTAACTTCTGGCTAGCGAGTATTTGAGTCTCCACGGCCAACTCCTTCCTGGATCTCCAGGCGCTGAGGGACGGGAGGTTCCCAGGGGAAGGGCTGTAGGAATCTGCCCAATAAGACCTAGACTGAGACACCAGCTCCCCCTCCCCAGCTCACTCCACACAGGCTCCAAACAGCCCTCGGGTGGGACAGACTCTGGGTCCCTGCTGCCCTGGGCTGAATGTGCCCAGTGCCCAGCAGTGACAGGCCCATGTCCCACCCCACAGCCCTGAGGCAGCCAGTCCCCAGGGAGGTGACAGCTCCAGGAAACACTTGAGGTCAGATTGTGCCATGAATGGAGAATTCCTAATTTTTTTATCAAAGGGGCGAGGGCCTCAGGGTTACATGAGTCAGAGATTTGTATCCCAAATGTGACCTTCCCGCACGTTCTGCTGTGGAGCCCTGGGGAGAGGCAGCGACAACTTCACTGCCCAGTGTTTCCCCAGCGCTGTGAGGTGTGAGAGCCACCGACCTGCTCAGGGTGCTTCTGATCTCCTGGAGAGAGAGAGAGAGAGGGAGGGAGAGAGAGTTTCAGTCCCCCCTGACACACACTGTGAATTCCAAGGGAGGGATTTGGCGAGTGAGGGGGAACTAGGCTTTGCCTGGCCCCAGGGCCATGGATCCCTGAGCGATGGGGCTTTGCCATCTCTAGTCTCTCTGTGCCTGTCGGTCTGCACAAAACAACAGTTCCCATGCCAGGAGGGCGCACACGGAGCTCCCCTGTGACCTCTGACTCCTGTGCCCACCCGTTATGGGCTGTCTCTGGGGTGGGATCCGGGGAATTTCCCCTCAGTCTCACCTGCAGGAATTCACTCACTGGCTTCTGACACTTCTCCTCCAGCTCCCCGATCCGCTCGCTGAGATGGGAAATCTGCTCCGAGAGTTTGGTGACAGTGTCAGTCCATGTTTTCACGATCATCTCGTCCAGCTGCTCCAGCTGGGCCAGCAGGAGTCGCTCTTGTTCCTGCAGGAACTGCCGCAGCTGCTGAAACTGGGTCACAATCTTCTGCCACTCGGCTTGTGTCCATTTCTGGAAGAAGAAGAAGAACCAAAGGAAGAATATCATCACCACCACTTGGGGGACATGGATGGAGCCTGGGGCCTTCACAGAGCATTGAGTGTGCAGGAGAATCTCTTTGCAAATTCTAAGTCACCAGACAGCGAACAGTCTCCTGCGGTTACTAGAGAGAGGATTTTTGTCACGTCTTCCTGTTTGGCCCCAGACTCTCATAAAGGACATTTCTGTGTCTGACATGCTTTGGATACTGAGTGGCTGATGGCCACAGCAATGCAGATCCAAAGCAGCAGCGAGTAGAATTAAGCATTAGCCCTTGGTGACATTTTCTGCATTACATTTTTTTCCTGGAAAAATGAAGATTTGTGGCCAAGGAAACATTTCATGAATTACTGGTGATGTCACCGGTTGTTGTGCAGCAGAATGAAATACATGACAAATCAAAATATTCTCTTTATTCTTCTCCCAGATTTTAAAGTCTGAGGGTGAGTCTAGACTGACAGCTGCTTTTGCGCAAAAACTTGCCAGCTGTCTACACTGGCCGCTTGAATTTGCGCAAGAGCACTGACTTTGTAATGTACAAAATAAGTGCTTCTTGCGCAAATACTTTTACGCTCCCACTCGGGAAAAAGCCCTCTTGTGCAAGTGTTCTTGCGCAAGAGGGCCAGTGTAGACAGAGACAGGGAAGAACTGTTTTGCGCAAAAAAGCCCCCATGGCTAAAATGGCGATCGGGGCTTTCTTGCGCAAAATCGTATCTATACTGACTACGGATGCTTTTGCGCAAAAGCATCCATGCCAATCTAGATGCTCTTTTGCAGAAATACTTTTAATGGAAAAACTTTTCCCTTAAAAGTCTTTCCTCAAAATCATGCCAGTCTAGACGCAGCCTGAATGATTTTTGAAACTGTACTTGTTTTTTATAGGAATATTTTTAAGGAAATGGTGAAGTTGAAACAAAACATTTTGATCTTTGCCAAAAATTTTCATTTGACCAAGCAAAGAATCAAATTGTGATTTGCTAATAATTTAAAAAATAGATAAATTTTTCCACATCTCCAATTTTTCCACATCTTTCTTGAAATGCAGTGCCCAGAACTGGACACAATACTTCAATTGAGGCCTAACCAGTGCAGAGTAGAGTGGAAGAATGACTTCTTGTGTCTTGCTCACAACACACCTGTTAATGCAGCCCAGAATCACGTTTGCTTTTTTTGCAACAGCATCACACTGCTGACTCATATTTAACTTGTGGTCCACTATAACCCCTAGATCACTTTCTGCCGTACTCCTTCCCAGACAGTCACTTCCCATTCTGTATGTATGAAACTGATTGTTCCTTCCTAAGTGGAGCACTTTGCATTTGTCTTTATTAAACGTCATCCTATTTATCTCAGACCATTTCTCCAATTTGTCCAGGTTATTTTGAATTATGACCCTGTCCTCCAGATTAGTCGCAACCCCTCCCAGCTTGGGATCATCTGCAAACTTAATAAGCGTACTTTCTATACCAATATCTAAATCGTTGATGAAGATATTGAACAGAACCGGTCCCAAAACAGACCCCTGCGGAACCCCACTTGTTATGCCTTTCCAGCAGGATTGTGACCCATTAATAACTACTCTCTGAGTACGGTTATCCAGCCAGTTATACATCCACCTTATTGTAGCCCCATCTAAGTTGTATTTACCTAGTTTATTGATAAGAATATCACGTGAGACCGTTTCCTGGCTAATCAAGAGAAACTATAATCCAGTCCCTAGATTATCTTGGCTGCTCCTTAGTGTCTGATTTGGGATCAGCTCCCTGCGGCTTGCTCCAACAGCAGGGTAATAACACCGGGCACCTACCAGGTGCTCCTGACTGGTCTCCTCCCTGCTCACTTTCAGTCCCAGCAGCTTTTCTCTCTCGGCTCTCAGAGTCTTCAGCTGGGCCTGGAGCTTTTCCTGGAGACGCAGAAACATTTCATGTGACTAAGCAAACAATCAAATGTGAGATTTGCTAATCATTGAAAAATAGATCGTTTTTGGTTCAGCCTCTCTCTCTAATGTCCTGCCAGCGAAGATTTTTAGTTTTTTAGTTTAGTTTCTGCTATTGTTAGTTTCAGGACTAGAGGGAGGGGAGCTGGCCCAGCACAACCACACACTGTACTCGCGACTGCAGGGCCCGGCAGGTTTATGGGATCAGAGACACAGAGTCACAGTAATAGACGCTGGGAGTGTTTTCAGACTGTTTGAAATTGTTGGACCTTGTTACAGTGGGGAGCTGGGGTCACATACTCAGAGGCTACATGTGCAGGGTCAGGGGGAGATCGCAGGGGAGGGGAGGGACACAGCATCAGGGACCTCCAGAGATACTGGGGCGTGTGGGGGGCGGAGGGGAGGGCAGGAAACATAGAGGAGGGACACAGCCAAACAGGTGCAGGGTGGAAATCTGGCCTGGCAGCCACCCCTGATAGCCTAGCTCTGGTGATTGCAGGTGTTTGCTAATGTAAGCAGGGGCTGAATTATTGCTTGCTATCAGCCAGCTAAAAGGAGAGAGCTGCCCTGGGGGTGGGTGTGTTCATTCCAAGGCTATGTCTACAATGGCGCGATCTTGTGCCAGAAACATGCAAATAATCAGCGTAGCGGCATTGCTCAAGAGGGTTTTTCTTGCGTCAGAAGGGGCAGTGTAGACAGCTCCTTCTGGCGCAAGAGCTTTTTCCGCAAAAATGGTGGCTCATTAGATATGCAAATGAGGCGTGGCGATATTCCATGCTTAGCCTCATTTGCATATTTTTGGCACAAGATTGCACCAGTTTAGACATAGCTCAATTGTTTCAGCTAAAAGGAGAGCACTACCCTGGGGGTGGGTATGCTCACTCCAATTGTTTAGTGCTGCAAGATAATTAACTGCTAACTGTTGATATGTAAATACAGCTCATGCCAGGACGGGGAAGGAATCCGAGGTTTGGTTATGTAAATTTAATTCAGCCAGGGGTGATGGAGGGTCAGTGTTGGAATGGAATGTGATGTACTGTAACTAATTTGGGCTGCTGTGGGGGTCACAAATCATGCTACCCTTAAATGTGGGAACTGCAAAACATGACACCAGTGCTTGCAGGAGAGACACCATCATTGTTAGGGGTTTCAGAGGAACAAGCCTCCCCCTTTCCAGAGTGGAGTGAACTGGGTTGGGGGTGGGAAAGGGCTAAAGGACTTGACTCGGCCTGCTTCATGCCTGCTAGGCGTGAGCTGTAAGATTGGCTCAACCTGCTTCTTTCCCCCTTATTTGAAGGATAGACCTAAAGCAGATTCTATGAGGAGC